CTACGCCACCTCGCCCCACTCACTCACTTTCACGAATAAATTCCAAAAGAATAATCCAGAAAAGAGTTATACTTCCTTCCAACTTTCCAGTTTTGAAGTAATCCGGCTGAGAATCGAATGTATATCGTCCCATATAGCGGTTTGAATCTGTTCCTTGTAGGGGCTGGTTCATTGATCACAATATTTGTATCGAAGCCGTGCAGTTTTTTCTAAGAAGTTTACTCGCCTAGAATAGTTTAGAGCTTTTCTTGACCTTTCTTTCTTCCGGAACATTCCACATTGCATGACGTTTTTCAGGTATATCTCTGCAGCTTTTCTGGCAAACCATTTAACAAAATGTCGACCTGAACCTAGACCCGACAGGAAGCTGTTGGAAAGGCCAACCAGAGCTGTCATAGAAAAGCAATTAGAACCATCAAATGATGGAAGTCCACGGCAATTGAAACAATTACCAATTCGTCCACCGATAATGCCTCCTTTACCTGAGCAATTGAGTGAATCAGAGAAAGGCTCGGTCATTTGTCCTGTCCCTCGCTGTGGAGGACGATTCACAAATCATGACAGCCTCTCCTATCACTGTATGATTGAACATTCGGAACTAGGAGCAGCAGGAACCCCTCAGGACTTTGCAATACGGCAGTATCGGTTCGAAACCAAGGAGGAGTACAAGGTGTGTGATTTCTCGATTGAAGTGAGTCGTTCAGAGTTCGCAAATTAGCGATGTTTCCTTAGAATGTATTGTTTGAAGGTTTGTTACCCACTGGGAATATGTATCCAGGCTTGAGGAGGCCATATGGCTTCGTTACACAGATAAGGGGCTAGGAAGTATGTAAGAGGGCTCAGAATCCGTCTAAAAGTCTCGTTGTTGCTACCGATGAGCGTTTCAGACCAACTTTAAGAGGTGACATTATGGGGACAGGATAAAGGTGGGGATAGTGTGCCCACTGCCTTATGCAAAAGCCAGCTTGCTTAGCAGAATACAGTATCCCTCTGATTCCCGCGACGTCGCTTACAGATGGCTGTATGACACGTCCGACCATCTATAGACGGTATTGACGGTAGTGGGCGTTCCAGTAAAACTCGAGGAGTGAAGTTTTGCTTTGGAAGATAATCTGCAGAACCAGCCTCGGCTTTGATCCAGTCTTTGTGGTCAATGTTCACGGAATTATTGGATTCCTCGGTTTCAGGAATGGTTGTACGAACGCTGTGAGGAGACTTGTACCTCATTTTCCACCAAAACGTCAATGTGGTCAGGTTATGCGATGTATCGTTGCAATCGAGCTGGCACCTTCAAAACTTCAGGAACTATCCGCAGTGGTTGTACGTCGAAAAAGACGCAGTCACATTGTTCCGCCTTCCTTAGGGTTGGTTCGTTTTCGGTTCGACATTATGTACGACGTAACTCTATATAATGAGGAACTAGTAAGCAGTACCTACAGTTCTTCCTTGTTTATAATGAATTTCAATGTCTGCGTATTCACAGAATCTCTTCGAGTAGTATTCAGGATTTACCTCCTAAATCGCAATGTTAAACTTTAATTCATTACCTTCGTATTTTTAGACGAGCGAGTATACCGACGGAAGTGTAGATGTGACTTGTTGTTTTGGCCACATTTTTCACGAACTAGATCCAACTGCTTTAAGGTTAAATGAGCGGTAAGTTCGGCAACTTATATAGGTTATTTTGTTGTCAGAGGACGCAGAAGGTTTTCTATTTCCTACAGGCAATGTGGGGTGCTCCGAAAAGCTATCGAGGAACAGAAATGTCTTACTGAAATTAGTGCTCAAATGAGAGCTGAATATCCGCCTACAAATCGTCTCCATTATACTACGTCGAACGATATACGGTAAGATTCATGACCGATTTGACGCTCTTTCAAAGTTTTTGTATTGTTCGAGGTTTCATGAGGTAGTTTTTAAACTAAGTAGATAAAGCTTACTAACTTCCCAGCTTTGATGATTTGTTAGTGAGGACCAGTAAAAAGTAATTCGGCGTATTTGAATTGTTTGTAAATAACCCTGTTCAACAGCATATGGTAGAAACTGCTCGTTTTCAGGAGGGAGAATACGCTTAAGTTACGTGTACGGCTAGAAAACTAGCTAAACATGGCAGCGTGTGTGAATGGGTTGAGTTTCAGAAAATGCGAAACAATATTTTCGTTTTGTTCAGGAATCTTGCACTTCGAATCGGTCTGCCTGTACACTTAAAAATGAAAAAACCTGGTAATACGGCTCCCGAAGGGAATGCTGAAGAAGTAGAAGACCAAGAGAATGTCGAAGACGATGTTGTATCTGAAGATGCTCTGTCCGAAAGCAATTCATCGGAGCATACGGATTCGGACATTGATGAGGATGAGCTAATGATGGAGCCCGAAGAGCAAGAGGAAGAGCAAGAGCAAGATCAGCAAGGGCAGGAGGAACATGAAACTCCATTTTTTGGTGGGCAGGTTGGTCGCATGTCGTCCATTTTTTAATAGATTTTTTGAAATCTATTACTGCTACTACTTCGTTAATTGCTTTCAGACTGAAGAGGGTAAGAGGTCATCGTCCCCTTCACCGGCTCCAGTTTCCTATTCTGGTGAAGATNGAACATGGAACTCCATTTTTTGGTGGGCAGGTTGGTTGCATGTCGTCCATTTTTTAATAGACTTTTTGAAATCTATTACTGCTACTACTTCGTTAATTGATTTCAGACTGAAGAGGGTAAGAGGTCATCGTCCCCTTCACCGGCTCCAGTTTCCTATTCTGGTGAAGATTCCGATAGCCGTCCTATGAGACTGAGACGAACTCCTCGACGATTTACCAACGAGTAGCCTGTGTAGTATGCGTTTTCTCTTAATCTGATGACTTAGAAAAGTGTGACCACACTTTCTAGACAGCAACGATGTTAAAGTTTGTAATTATTGTTTGTACAGACCAATCCTTCCTTTTCAGCAGGTTTTTTGTCTTCAATCGACTACTGCTATGCTAAAACGTCAAAAAATTCGTCGAAACCTCACAGACATAGGAATGTGGTGCCCTAGTGACGTGTTCCAACCATTTCTGGCGTCGGTCTTATTGGGTGCGGGTTTTTTNTGAAGGTGATGCTATAGGAAGTCCCTGGGGACTGTGCTAGCTAATGCGGTGTGATGCCATTCCGGTGTAATACTCGAAAAGTTCTCTGTTAGCTTTTTCTACAAATGATTCAGTGTTCCCATTACAAATATGACGTCCACTTCGGTGGCAGAGCCATTTTGTTCCAGATTGGTGCAACATTCTGTTCCCACAGGGGCTGCTAAGGGTAGCCTACAATTACGCGTCAGGACTGCCTTTCCGCGTCGTCAGGGAATAAGCCTGACTAAATTCATGCATTTGAGCACACGGACTAATTTATTCTATAGATTTGTTTCACTGAATCTGGTGAAAGCAATGTTGCACCAAATCGGCGCAGTACAACGCCAAATTGTGCTGACATGAATCTAACCTCAGGGAATAACCAATAAGCGCATGAACACTGTCCAGGGCTTTGAATTAGTTTCAGGTGTTTTCGAAGTAGTTGGCGAAAACGAAGAAGGGACTGGACTGGGGCAAAATGCCATCAAATTGTGCCAGCACCAAAGTGTGTGTCATTTCCATTAACAGGGCACCGACTTACAACTCAAGACGAAGCTCCAAGGATAATCAAAAATTATTCGGGCTAGTTGTAGTAGTCGAGTAGGCCCTCATTTTCAGTATTTTGGTATTCTTTACTGTTACTAATATTTTGAAAGTACTGTCGATTGCTGAATTCCTGAATATTTTTTTGTATTTCTTCTCGTCTTTCCCTTTTTTAAAAGTTTTCCGAGATTCCTTCGAGGTCGTTTCGTTTTTTGATTGAAAATATTTTGTTCAATTGTTTGACTTGTTTTCCACCTATTACTGTTACATAACTGTCAAAACTGGAACAATATTTATTGAAGATTTCGTTTATTTTGATTCTGACATAGCTTTATACGCCCTCCGTACCTTATTGGCAACGAAGAATAAGTGGACCAGGACTGAAACAATTCATAAGTAAGTTTTCACTGCTCTTGTATAGAGTTCATAGAAGGAGCTACTTCTACGATAAACTCAGAAACCTTTGTGACCCAAATGGAGAAGGCTGAAGGTCGATTCACGGAGAGCTGGCCCCGAGAAAAAGGAATAAAAGAGTTCTTTTGGTCGACATTGCTCCTGTTCAGAAACACGCCCATGCATCGAGTGCAACTCGAAATCGTAGAAAGATTTGAATGCGTATTTGACCTATACAATGACTTGCAGAGCCCAGTCGATGCGCAGGTCAATGGTTTTTATCCTCCCAAACGGTCTGGCTTCCTTATCTGGCTAGGCCGACTTGTATGGATATCGATTGGGGTTTTGATCTTAGGATCATCTCAATCATATGCGTTGTACAAAGTAAAAGCAAACAAAAAAGTAGGAACGCCCATCTCACTCTACCATATCCGAAGGCGTTTACATGGTACCAATTTTCTTCTTGGGAGAGGAAAAACAAATGAATTGTGCATTTGCTACATTCTCAGTTATTTGCATAGGGCAAACATGCAATCGAGTCTACAATTCAAAATAGGAGTCAGATGCATGGCTTATCCTAATGGGACTGATTAATACTGGTGCAGCACAATTTTTCGGGTTTTTGGGGTCACTACCTACTCGCTCTTCCCATTTTCATCAGTCCAAGGTGATCCAACATATAAAAGTTGGAAAAGGCTCATTTTTCTCTGATTCGACTCAATCTTCTTCTTCAGCTTAGTCTCATCCTACTACAGGTACTTTTATACAAGTAATAACTTACAGACGATACGAATTATCGCGAAGAGTATGGATACAAATGCTTCTCCTTAAGAAAAATACGAAATTTAGAAAAAGAAAATGTGATTTGCCATATTTACGAAGAGCTGTCTCACCAAATGTAGATTCTCCGAAAAAGGAAATAAGTATGCCAATAATATCCAATATAATAAATATAAGCTGAAACAGTATTACGGTAGCATCATGAGGATTTCGAGAAATCTAGTTGGTATGGTAGGGCTTACAGCGGCAATCATCACACCAGCCATGATTTGTGCATCCTTTTTGAAAATGGCCCAGATAATCGCAGCCAGGAAGGCAATCTCAAGTAAAAAAAGAAAAATTAAGTAAATTAAAGTGAAATACAGGGTGATATGGTAAAGAAAACATCAAAAATATGGGTTGTTAGCGATTTGAATATGGGGAGGGAGCAGGCAGAATTTTTTAATACTCACGGCTAACAGCAGCTTAAATCCAGCTGCAACCTTTGAAGCTGTATCACCGAAGAAGTTGAACAGGGCTAAAATCAAGAGGACCACCCCGACGATAATCAGGTAGATCTGAAATCGTAATCATACTTCATTATGTGGCCGAAATAGCTCTCCAGTTTACTGCATTACTCATTACTGCTTCTAGATATCAACGACGTTGTTTCAACCGACGACAGACCGCGTCGCTGGCCACATGTTGACAACGCAGGACGGACAGATTGCGTTCAGGGTCGCGTGAGCGGTATCGATCCATGTCCAGCGTTGTCAACGCGTGATCAACAACGCGGTCGCTCAGTCGGTCTTCGGTTGGTACAACGCTCGTCGTTGAACTCTGAAACCACCCTGTTGACGTGGCTCTGCATGGGCTACCCTCTGACGTAAAGGATTGAAGCGCCGAGGAATAAATGATAAGATAAACAAATTAGGAATTTAATCCTTTCTCACTTGGTAGTGATCGACTTCATGCAAGAAACACCAGGATTTAACTTTTGTGAGATTTGGTGGTTGAGATATAAATGGTTCTAGAACTTTTATATGTTAGAGGCCTATGGCCGCTGGAAAGCCACAGTCTTTGATCAAAAGGGGCCCAGCACGAAAGGGCGCTGTAAGGACTAGGAAACTGTCGCTTTCCCCACCCCCACTCCCTGCTCTCCCCTCAGTGCTTCCAAGATTGGACGTGTTTAGCGACTGCATAGGGCCTGACATGATTGAGAATGGAGCGCGTTTTTCGTTAGTACAGCGAGCTGGTACTGTTTTGCAATCACTAAATTTTGGAGTGGGGTTTTTTTGGTTTTTTTTTTATACAACTAGCTATTCTACATAAACAATTTCGCGTGTTACCCAGAGTGAGAGTACAAAAAGTGTAGGGAGATCAAAATTCCCCATATCTGTTGACGCCGCTTTTCTGCAAAGTGGGCGATTTGGGAGTTCCCGTTTTATTCGGAAAGCGGAAGTATAGGTTGGGAATAGTTCATCTGTAGTGAAGAGAGCGAGAAAGTAGTTTAGGCCGGTTTCGAGAAAAATATGGTTCCTCAAAAGTAGGGAAAGTAGAGGTTGGACAAGATTGCCATGACGGAAATATCATGAAAGGGTATTCGTACGAGATTTCAGTTGTTGCAGTCGCGCAAAGAGCTGGCTATATCAAGTCAGAACTGTACAGAACTGTTTTTTACTGTCGCTATGAGTCGCGTTCCGCGATAGAAAAGTTGTTCGAACTTCCTACATTGGTTACCTCGTGATTGGTGCAACCTCTACAATATCGATGAAACTCGTCCGAGGATACACATGGTACAATCTTTGATCCTTTATAACACCCTAACTAAGCCGTTTTTCGGCCTAATAGCGCCGGATATGATATACAAGATTGCCTCAAATTCATCTACGGGGAAATTTCAGAAACCATTTCCATCGTGAACTGTGCCTTTGGCAGAAAAGAAGGGTTGAACAACTTGTTCGCTTGTGTTAATTGTTTTTTGTAATTCTGTTCTCATTTTTATTTATTTCGCTACTTATAATTTTATTTGTTTTATTAACGTTTCTCATGTGATATGGCTTCATTGTTAGACAAGAAGTAATGACTTACATCGCCGCCGCACCATAGCACCGTTCCTACCTAAAAAAAATGAGTAGTACCATTCGAGGAGGGATGAAATTTTTGAAAGGAAACGTTCATAAAGATGACGTTGGCCGGGAGATGGGCAGTAGGAACGGTTTTTTGTAGTCGATCCGCCGCACGCGGCTGTCGCGGACCATTTGACATTTTTTCGTCATATTGATGCCTCACTTTTATAAACGAAGCTATCAACACTCGAGACATTTGCCCGAGCAACTTATGATATTTATGGATGAATTTGAAAATCACGGAAAAATTGGGATTTTTTTGTAAAATATTTTCTTTTTAAGTGCAGATGCTATAGAACAAGCAAAAGTTACGTCGGTTTCGCGACTCGCATTGGTATTTGTCGTTCCTGTTGTTGGGGTCTCCTTCTCTTTCTCTTTTTCCTTTTCCTGTGGGCTGAAACGGTTTAGGCCTTTAGATGAGCCTGCTAACGGGTAACAAAGATATAAAAGGAAAGAAGTAAATGCTATACAGTATCGTCTATTTTTTAACCCATTGACGACCACGGCGTTTTGCGAGAAAACGCCGCGAGGGACCGGCGCGCTTTTCGTCCAACCGCGACTGCAGCCCACATGTGAACTTCAAGGTCAGCATGACCGTTTTTTGAAGTTTATAAGAGAAAATTATAAGTTTTTAGGAATGTTCCTTCAAATGGGCTTGGTAAGAGTGTCCTTATTGAGAATTATTGGTCTTTATTATAGAACCGGCACTCGTTCTAGTGGTCATTCAATTATAAGTTCAATCATTACCAGAAATCGTTTTGAGGAACTTTTATTTGTGTTGCGTTAGGTGTTTTGGTCGATAACAGCAAAAATGCTAATGACGACCGTCTTTTAGAAATAACTCATTTTTTGACGTTGTTCAACGAACGAAAAATTCACCGAGGTAATGTACTCCTTCGAAAAAACACCTCTACAACTGTAAAATTAGAAGATTTTCTAGAACCACCTAAATGTAGTTTCATTTAGGCCTGATGTAATGTTTTGAGGAGAAAAATTGTAAAAAAAATGGAAGTATAGATGAATAAAACAAAAAATTACAACTGCAGTCCACATGTGGACTGCAGTTGTAATTTTTTGTTTTATTCATCTATACTTCCATTTTTTTTACAATTTTTGTAAAGCTGGACTTTGTTGGAAGCTCCACACCAGAGTTGGTGGGAGACTGAGGCAGTCATTTCTGGCAGATTTGTGTTCAGTTTCTCCGACACTTTTAAAGGTTTATGCATAAAAAGCTTAATCACAATCGTAGTTCTTCTCATTTTGGACAGCCCAGTTTGTCCCTGGGATTTGAGCAGCCTCTCCAGAGCAGTCCTACACGACGCTGCCGTAATGGGGCTCCTTCAGGTTAAGGGAACGAGCCCGTTCATCCTAGTTTTGTGACAAGGGCATCCACGGATGACTTGATAGAATATGACATGGGGCTGGATATGCTCCGGGTAGTTGGAGTAAACACTGAGTCAACTTATTAGGGGTGGTCCTGCCTCTCCCTATGTAATATCCAAACAGTTGAGTGTAAGCTTTTCGCTTAGCCATATGGCTTTTCGCTTAGCCATATGCAGGATGCCAACCGCTACGTGGCCTAGACACCAGCCAGCTGGTGGTCCTTCAAGGAGGAGGAACTCAAATAATGTACCGAATATCGAGTCGTCAGTACACATGCTTGGCGTTTTTTCCGGGCAGACCGGGTTGTAGATGCGCCTAACGGAGATGATGTTCAGGTGGGATGGTCTCCTGATGCTCTTTCGACGCTGGAGAGTACGAACATCTCTAAATGGTCTTGCTACATGTACCTCGGTCGAGAAGTCAACATCGTGGTCGACCCAGCTCAACAGCTGAGCAGAAGGAAGCGCACAACGTGGGGAGCATTAACGCGAATCAAGGAATTCGCGAGGAAGATAGAGGACATCGGGCTTGAACCGCAGTGTCGAGAAGATGGCTCCGCGCCTCCTGGATTGACTGTGAAGCTATCGCCCCAGGCAAGAAATCGAAAGATAGGTGAGATAAGCATGCGATTTCATGAGAACCGTCAGATGGGACGGGTCCTAACTAGCTAACTACTAACTTGGTCCTTCGAACACTCGAAAGTACCGAAACGGTTGCCAGTCTTGGTCAGTCTTTTTCACCTTTGGACGGAAGACTGATCTGCCTGACTTATCGTGAGGAAGAGGAGGAGCAGGAGGAGGAGGAGGAGCCTTCCTGATCTACACTGAACCGCAACAGACTAAATTTGCTAAAGTTATTGGCTTCACCCGAGCAAATGAACGATTAAAGGAATATCAAGTGATGCAGGTGATACAGATGATAATGATAAAATAACAAAAGTATGATTAGGTAAGAATCTTGAGCGATACCAAAACTTCGTTTCCAAAGTTTATAAGCCCGCATCGTTTAAGACATTACGGCCAGTGCGGGGTGTACACGAGTCAGAGAGCTGATTATGTCATCAGCTGTATAGATGTCTTTGAGTTCGGGTTCCTAAAAATAGTCGAGAGAGAAGGAAGGAGAAGATCTTACAATCTGCAGATCAGATCACCAGAGCATTTATCAATGTTTGCTTGGCTACGAAGACCTGGAGACTTGATAAATTACAAGTAAGTAAAGATGAGGGTCCAATAAGTATGAACCCGAAAATTCGCGGACCGTAGAAATCGCTTGAAAGACCGGAGGGATGGTGATTGACATTCCCTTTCCCCGTCTGCTCCTTCTATTGTGGTTTTGAGCCCTAAGCGATGCATTCCACCACCCTCTACCGGATTCCCTGCAAATCCAAATGATTACCTAATTGATGTTGATCCCTCTCCCTGGAAATTTCTTCCCGAATTTCAATATGGATTGGTGGGGGCTACCCTATGATTATCCTTCCTCATCAAGGACACTGTGTGGTTGAAAACTGGTATAGAATCAGTGAGACCGCCCTGAAATTAACGTTCCCTGGGCTGTTCTGTTGGGTGGAGACGTAACGGCAAGAACTCACTTCTCTGGATCGGCCATAGTACAACACGATGCTGCTAAGAATGAACATCAAGGTAGTACTGTATGATTATGATATCAATGATAGGTAAAGGTAAATACTTCAAGATTTCCTTCCGTCGGGTATCAAGTGCGGTCCCAACTGATAGTCATATCGTCATGCCGCCAGTTTTGATGAAATCTTACCCCACTATAGACCCGCATTATTAATTCTTGAAGTTCTTCTGTGTAAAGTGGCGAAAAGGCCATGTGGCGTTAAGCAGCCCCGTCGTGGGATGCGCCCCGCATTCGACTTCCATTAGGAATCGTAAAGACGTTTGAATGCGTATGTGGCCTCTGCGTTGAACCGCAGAAGTCAGCCGATTTGAAAACCATTGTTACAACCTCCAGGTTGGTTTAATGTCGGTCAAGTGAACTTAAAAAGCGGAACATTTTGCTGAGTAATTCAGACAACCACCCAGGAACCCATCTTCGCACCAGACGTGTGGTAGTGGCGCCCTTCAGCACTACCCATCGCGCCCTTTGTACTTTTGTATAAGTGTATATCTAGTGCTACCTTATAGAGTTAACCTTGTAAGTGCTCTTACCTGATATGCTACTTTGTTTGGTGGAAAATAACCACCCTAATTAGCAAAAGCGCCCGCAAGGCGCATTTTTAGTCGTCTTTTATAAAGCACTTTGTGTACTGAGTTGTGTAGTTTACTACATCTCATTTTACGCTTATTTATTCCAAATTAGTGAAAGGTTTCATTTTGCTCAAGTGTGAATTAACTTGTTGATTAACCTCTTCCTCTTTTACGTAAGCCTTTTACTTTATACTTCTCACAGTTCATCCATTTGTTCTCCCATCCTTCCTTCCCAAAAAGCCCTGTCTCTTTGGGGATGGTATTGAGGCGCTCACAGCTAATCTTTTTTTTTTCGTCGTCCATTCTCTGCTAAAGAAGGTGCTACAGACAGTTTCCACTCAATCAAATGCAGTAGTATTGGATGGCAAGGTTTTACCTGAGGTAATCATCTCACCCATCGCGGCTCTTCTCACCTTCTTAAGTTCGCAGAGCCGGCTACCTCTCCTTTCTTGCGCTCTTTTGCCAGGTGCTGAAAAGTGGGTGCCTGCCTTCAACTACATCTCAACCGAGGTCCCATCGCTAAATAATTTATAACCACTAAATGTCAACATACGAGTACTTTGAAGTTAAGAGAACTAGGGCGTCAGCTGGTACCCTTGTCTTTATGTGGGGCAGGTTGGAAAGATGAGAGGGGGAAGGAACATTGGACCCCAAAAGAAATTCCTGTTCACTTTTACAGACATCACCTCCCAGGTGGGCGAAATTACGAAACTGTAAAGAACGAGGAAAACTTGAAGGTGAGATCCCATCGATAACAACTTCAGCATCAGAACCCAGCTATTACCAATCCTTTCGACGAGCCCTCAGTGTTTCTCTTCATCGTCGATTATATCCTTTGATACTGTACATGTTTTTTCCGTTGAAGGACCAGACTAGTGGATGGCTGCTTCGAACAAAAGGAAATCGGCTGCATCTCCGGCTCCGAAACCACGTCGATTTGGGGATAGGATCGTCGTTCCCCATTGCAGTGATGAAAAGAAATTCTCTCGACGACGGCCCTCAAAATCCATAGTAAGTCAGAATTAAGAGTTCAAAGGGATGTCCTTTTGGCTGAAGTTTAGATAGAAGAGCCTTCTAGCAGATTATGTCTCCTTTGTAAAGCAGCGTGATGATCTTTTGCTGAAACCGGTTTGTTTCCTCAAAGGGGTGGGGCGTGCTCAAGTGAAAGGGTCATTCAGAGCCATATTGCTTATAAAAACAAAGCGAATTCTTCTGCATATCCATTCAAACAGGTGAATATGCAAATAACAATTTTCATGGGTTTGAAATGATTTTGTAAATGTATGCGGCGGCCTTGGTGTATTCATAATAATGCTATAAAAGAATACATTATCGTTTTCATCGTTTCTACGCCTGATTCCAGACAGAAGGAAAGACGAAATTTCTCGGGCGTAAAAGGAAAGTGTCTTCACCAGCTCAAAAAGAAAACCAGTGTGCTATTGCTATGATTACGTCGAATGCTGTTGATCCTCTTCTGAATGGGGTCGGTTGCTGTTTGACCAATTGAACTTGTTTACATTTCAACATTTCAGTGGCTCCAAATTAAAATACTACCACAATGACATTTTGGACAGTACGAGTTTTGATGTGTTTAAACATTATTTTCGAACTACTCTGATTCTTTAATTTTGCTTCAGACTGAATTTTGTTTTTAAGAAGACACAAACATTTGACTTTTTCCTGAGTGCTTTAACAGTTTGCCATATTGTTTACAGGATGATCAGAACGCAACAGAAAATGCTGTGTCGTTCAATGACAAAGAACTACAGTTACCTGAAGTTAGAATGGTATGTTATTCAACTACAGTAATTAGTAGTAATTCAGTCTTCTTTTTTTTCTGCCTGTTGCAACTTGCTGATTATTATTTACTGAGGGTGTCAAAGAGCGAATTTACTAGAGTTTACAGTGAAGTGATGGCCAGATTCCGTGAAGTACCTAGTTTTCTGGAGTCCTATGGTGCTTTGAGCCGATCCAAAAGACAAGAAAGCGCGTCTTCTTTGTATTTCCCTCATTTTATAATTTGTGCGAAGGGGTAGTTGATCGTTTTGGGTCGCTTTTTTTCAACTATGGTGATTATCTTTGATCCTTGACGAGAACAAGTTTACAATAAACCAATAGGGAAGTTTTCCACCTTTAAATGTATTCTTTAATATAAATCTCTCATTGTGCTTACTATTCAGGTTGGACATCTAACTGCCTTGCGCTGTCAACCGCGGCTAACTGATGAACGTGTCGATCTTGAACTGTTTGCTAAACGCCATGAAAAGCTGGAGAAGGAGGAAAAACAAATTCTGAGAAGGTATGACTGCGTTACAGCAATGTGTACCTTTGATCCATCGTCAAAAATCTTTTTACACATTTGCACATTCTCATATAATGACTCATACGTAAGTACTCGAGTTTACTCTTTTAACAAATTAAAATTTCATGATCTTTTTCGGATGTGCGTGGGGTCCTAGTAATCGCTGCAGTCCCCTGAAGTTGGGACGCCTAAGGATGCTGCACTGTTTGCGATTTCTTTTTCGAAAATGATTTTCCGATTCTGCTACAATCATGAATGACGTTCAATTTATGGCAGATCGAACCGACTTCCGTATACTTTAAGTAAATAGTTAGAATTCTGTGCCACCAATGCTGCTCAGCACTTGCCTCTCAAGTAAATATCTTGGAAAATAGCCACATAGGGTATATTCTTCAAGTAGATATACCACTTCCGTATTTATTTATTTTAGGGATCGAATCTGGCAAAACGAAGTTCGCCGTCGGTCACGCCTTCTTCGAATCCAACGAACACCACCCCCACGTTTTCGTGATTTTCGTATCGTTGTGCTGAGGAAACTCACGCGCCATTTCAAATGATTTCATTTTGTTAAGACCAAGTAGCTACTAATAAGTAATCAAAGATTAAGTGAGTGCATGTTGTGTATATGTATATAGTTTTGTGATTGTAATAAATTTGTATCTCAATTCTGACGAAATGGTAGTTTTTTCAAAAGGCATATGCATCCTATGTTGTGAGCAAAGCTTGAGCTTACTCAAACAATTTAAACTAGTAATTCAAATCTTCTAAAAACAATTTATGTTCATTTGCGTTGAGGCCTTAAAAGCCAAGATTTTCAAAAGCTTCGAATTTTGAATTCAACTTTAACATTTAAATAAGTAGCAAATTCGTCTGGTTTGATATACGGTGTAGAGATATTTTCTAGTCTAACCATTCAGTATACTGTAACATTCAACCATATATTCAGGATTATAAGATTCGTTTGATTATTGACGCCTTTTGATTGCTATACCTTGCCCTGCTCCTTGAACGAATTATTGGTCTCATCTTGATTCTGATGAAACTGTTATACATGCTACCTAGGGGCTAGGATTTACCGTTTATTTGAGTTCCAAAGAGCATGCCTAAACGAGGAGATACAGCAGTTAAACGAATTTTCTGATTGGGCCGGTTTTTGATTTTTCCTCACATTGAGTGTTCTTAAAGCATAAGCTGGAGTTCTTCCTTTTTTGATTTGTCGTTTTTTTCATTCTATTTCCTTTCTTTCTTTTATTTTTAGTTCAACTTCTGAGCAGGGTCCCTTTGTATCACCTAATAATAAGTCCGAAACGCCCTGCATTGCGTGGCTGAAAATACATGCAGCAGGATTTCTTGGGCGTTGACCTTTGCAAAAGATAAATGTGATGTTGGAAAGTCAACATTCCCTATAAGTTCACGAAGTGGGATTTTGCTGTTTTTAGATTAAGATCTGAAATTACATTTGTAGGGTAGATCAGAGATAGGCGAGGTGTATGCCCCTTTGTCACTGCTCTTGCTTCTTCCAGTTTTTTCTTCATTGTCAACAAATGCCGTCATGGCACATACGTGAGTTTTGATAACAATGTTTTGATTAACTTGTTACTGTAACGTTTGACTGTTTGACTTGGCTTCTTCCAACGGAAAACGACTACGTTTTATTTTATTCTGGGAATAATATTTGAGTAGTGGCGGCAACGGTGACGTTTTGAGCTCCGTTGGTATTTGATCAGCGAGTCAAACATGCACTAATTGCAATCGTTCGGCATGTATCTATTTCAACAGCTATCGATAATTTCTCAACCTATAACTCTTTTACAAGAGTTTTTAATGGTTACTTTGTCAATGAGCTGTTTAGCTTGCGCCAAAAGTTCCTGCCCTGCGTCAGTCGTCTTTTTCTTTACTTTACATCTTTTTTTGCTCCTCATGTCGCTTTTGCTGTTCCATTTTTTTTTGTAATTTTTTCTCAATCCTTCACCTTCCTCACATTGTGTTTGGTTCTTGCCATTTGGCCAAGTGTACAACTCTGGCTACGTGCCTTCCAATTCACCAGCGGAATCGTTTTTGAAAGAGTGACTGATGTCTTTCAGGTCGAAGCTCGAGTCAACCTTTTTCAATATATCAAGGGTAAACTTTTGTGAGTCATCTTTATGTTTCTTTTCTGTAAATGACCCATTTCTCAGTATCGTCTAAGTTATCATGAGTCATTAATGATTTATACCTTCCCATATTCGAGAAAAAGTTAAAGTTTCTGATCACTAAATTATGAAGAGCTTTATCAAGGTAAAAACCGTTCAAAATAGTGCATCGGTGCCAAAGGAAGCGAGAAAACCTGCAGAACTGTAGTACTTTTTCGAAAACAATCAAAAGAGAGGGTCGTACGAGATTACATGCGAAAAAAGGGTGTGGAATGGGTGTTTGGGCGAGATTTTCGCAATGGTGCGAAGGGGCGAAGGGAAATGCCGCAAATGCCTTTTACGATTACCTGTCTGAATTTCCCACATGTGTGCTCCATTGCGAATGGTGCAGTCTCTGCAATGTCGTTGAGACACGTCCGCCTTCAGGTGTGGAAATCAACGAAGCCAATCTTTTAGCCCTAATGGCGTCCGATGTAAGCAGTTTTCCAATCCATTGGCCTACTATGTGGCATACTTTGTCGACTACAAGCTCGTTATCCTTGGAAATCTTGGAAACCCCATTTATCTGTACCTCAAGGAAGTGCATGAAAGATAAAAAGGAACCACTTTTGACCATGCTGCACTTGAACATTCATGAAGACTGGGGAAGTAATTTCTTAACAGTGTCGATCATAGGGATAATTCAATGTATTCATCAAAACGATACCACTCGCATCGATCATCCATCGTTTTCTAATCCGACCTTTCTGCCAACAATTTGACAGGGCCATTCATTTGAACAATGTTCGAGATGTGTTGGAATTTTTACTGAACGAACCGGTCTTTTCAATTACCCAACATTTTTCTGCCATTGTTCAGTACCCGCCTCGACATTTTCCGTTTACCATCGCTCATCGGCTGAATCATCCAACAATAACATCGAAACACGGGACGGTTCACGACGGACGACACGACGGAGCTCAACTCAGCGCAAGCTGTGCATTCAATGGCTTGCGCAAGCCGTCTCGCTTCGTGCGGGGTCATGTTTTTCTCCATTTATGTACACAGGAAGATGTCATTAGTACATACGGTAAGCGCCCAATTCCAGCCATCTCTAGTCGTCTATGTACTTGCCGTCTCCATCAACCCGTCGAAGCTATGCCGCCTCATCCTGTTGGGCTGAAAGTCTTCAATCTCATGCCCTCGGCTAATAACTTTGTGTTCGAGTAACTCTTGTGCCTTTGCTTTTTTTTTCTCAAAAGATCTTCCTTAGAGACTGAGTCGGACTCCCTAAAGGCCCATTAAGCTGGTATGTGGAGCTCTTATTCCTACCTAACTGGGCTCAGTACTGACTGTCAGCTTCCTTCTACATATTTTTCGTTACTGTATTCAATTTGTATTGACATACGAGTTACTGTAAATCGTACCATGAACGTATAAGTCCATTTCGCACCAATCTCTGCCCCGAAAACCTCTGTCAATAATGCCATAACAGGTCGACCAATGCTTTTTCAGGCAATTAGATTAATTTTGGTCTCACCCTGGTTTCAACGATGCGAAAATCCGTCTTTTATAGACTTTTCTGGTCGTGGAAAAGTGATCATGAATAGGAACGGAAGGGTGTGGTCGCTCAAAGTAAGAAGCGACCATATGAATTCACATTTTTTACGAAGAGAACAAAGAAAAGTTGACTCCTAGATTGCTACATAATAGCCGTAACTAGAGCTGGCAGGTGCACCTGGGCTATGCCTCGATCCAGGAAGGTTCAAGTCCTCATGGTTGTTTACCTAAGTATATTAAGGTTGTGCGGAAGTGTCTGCCCAAGTTTCGCAAAAGTCCGGGGTCTACTTTTTTTTCTGGGGTTTTCTGAGAGCTCTCATGAGGTTTTTTATGAAAGGACGCTACCAATGCGAATAAACATAACATATTGGCTATCTCTTCCTTGCAGTCTACCGGAATTCGACCCTTACTCTTCAGAAGATCGGGTCACTTCACTCCGCCGCTGAAACCCACTGGTACCTCTGTCAAGCATTTGGTCATAAAACCCCTTCTAAGCGGTTCTGGGCACACCCCGTTCCAGCCCATCACAACCCGAAATAAAAAGGTCGAAGGTGAACTTTTTCGATCCAAACAACCGATTGCGATGTCGAGAACCTCCTGATGTGTTATGCCCACACGAAGGAATGGCGTCCTCTTGTAGCATTTCTTCGGAGTTTGCGGAGAATCTCGGCGAAAATCTAGACTGTTGCGGAATTTCCCGCAGTTACTTCCCACATAAGCTAACATACAGATGGATGCATTGTGGACAACTGGCTAAGTTGATTCCTGCCAAGGAAATACACTCCGGATCGATACCTAAGAGTTAACTCCATAGGAAGGCATTCAAAATTTCTGATTTTGTCAACCCCCGATTTCTATAGCAATCTTCCATAGCTTCTATAGCACAGCGAACCAGTACTCACAATTAGAAGGAGCCAACGTCATCTCATTTCCTGAATGTGAGCTTTTAAGATGCGGCATGTAGTTAATGAAGATTGCTTTCATGCGACCAGAGGGTACGAACGGAAAACTTCAATTCATTTTGTCGGCTTCAAGACCTTTTTAGATGATCATTGAAGGGATTTCCTTGAAGACGGTCAAACTTCGGATCCTTTTGTTGCCCTACACATCAGCATATTAATGGTAAGGTTAAAGGAGTGTAAAGGAAGAGCGTATTCGTTCGGAAATAAAAACTTGTCGACTTTGCAGTACCCATCATTTGCGATTTCAAGTTATGTTAAGCGACGCTTTCACAGCGAATGGTGTGTAAATAAGAATGGAAATCAAGCGGGAAACCATGGTCTAACATGCCTATCACACCTCCAGATGGACGAGTCAATGGCGCAGTTACCGGACCCGACTGAGTACGGTAAGATCGGTGTGAATGTATTGCTAACGGGTTCAAACAGGTCACGTCGCTGGTTATGACATTTTTATTAACAGGTAGAAACCCGTTGAAGGGTCTACTTCTTCTCGTCCATTCTCCGATATTCTCGAACATTCCGATGGGAGCATGTCCTGCTAGTTTCACAGAGATTCCTCTTTTTTTGGTTTTTTTTTTCCAATTGGCTATTCTCTTACCGTGTCTTCTTACATTTTCGCTTCCACTTATACCCAATTCTTGTTTTGACTAGATGCTTCGTGAACTGCTGTTCTCATAAAGGCATAGAAGCCATTAAGAAGGCGATGCGGTAGTGTAAGGGATAAAAGCGCGGTGCCTGGATAGCACAAGTACAGGTTCGAGTCTCATCCGAGACCAAATTGTTGTCCATAACTCGGCAACCTTGTGAGCTAATTCTTGTCGTTTTCAAATGGGTAGTATAGAAGAAAACCGTTTGGAATACTTTTCTAGGCAGGTTTAACATTACAACTAGGATTCGTCAGTTTTGACGTTCCTACCAGGCAGT